TGACTGCCCACCCAGACCCAGGCAGGGACCCAGATACACCTCGATAAACAGGGCAGGGGTCCTGTGGAAGCACGCAGGTCCCTGAGCTCATCTCTGGGAGAGCAGCAGGGAACCACGGGGAAACGGGGCCATGTAAAGCTGCCTCAGGGCTTGGTAAAGCCAACACCAGGGTAGGAGAGGGATGGAGAACAAGGAGGCGGGCAGGAGACACAAGGGGGGATGTGAATTGGGGCATGGCGGGTGCTGCACCCTGAGGTGCAGCCCAGGCTGTGTGTTCCTTGAAGGTTCCTTGAACCCTTGTGGTTCCTGGGACCACCCATCCATCCTCACCATGATGGAAATCACCCGTTCACATCAGTCTAGGAGGGAGGCACGTTCCTTAAGTGGCCCATCCGTCACCCTGTCAGCGGCAGCAGTGGCACTTCCATAAAGGACATCTTCATGGATTAATGCTGCTCCCAGGCAGTGGAACTGCAGCCAGGAATGGCTCTGAGCCAGGGTGAGAGGGGTCAGGAGATGTGTGCAGGGTCATGCTGTCCAAGGGGCTCATTTGTCCCCAGCTTAGGCCATCTCAGCCTTGTTGGGAGTAATTGGGGAAGGGGACAAGTTTGGGATGCTCCAGTATTGCCTGGAGCATTGGATGCAGAGTCCTGCTGCTGGCAGAGCTGTGCCAGGCTGCCACCAGCATTGTCTGGACCCTTGCTGTACCAAGCAGAAAACCCCAGGCTCAACACAAAACCCAAGACAATCCCAAAATGCTCCCATCAACAGAAGCAAGAAGAGCCTGGAACAGAGGCAGGAGCTCTGGGGTAGAAGGATGCAGGGAGCTCTCCCCGAGGCAGGAGCCCTGCAAGCCCTCTGCAAACATCCTGCTGCAGCTGCTATAGTGGGACAGGGAGAGGGAAAGATGCGATTTAACACTTCATTAGGCAACCACAAGGCATCGATCTGCCCTACCAGCCTGCGTGTTGTCTAATTGCATATCTCCGTTCTTATTAATTCTATTGGAAAAGCAGGGAGCAAGACTCGGGAGTCTGATCCTATCTTTAGGAAATTTCAAACAGAGATGTAATTACCAACTACTCTAAATCATGGTGCTTTATCCACTGTTAACAGTATTTTAAAGCCATGGTCATCAATAGCAAGTCCTCGGGATGCACTCTCAACAGATGCCATTAATCTTATTTTGACTGCAATCGCCTGGTGCCTCTGGGCTCAGATTCACACTTGGCAGTGAGGGACAGCTCTGTTTCTCCAGCAAAGCAGGCTTCTGGGCAGCCTCAGTCTGGGACATGGGATGCAGCATGGGATGCTCCTAGAACCAGCCACAGTGGGCAGAGACCGGAGCTCCTTAACCCTTCCAAAAATGCCAGCAAACAGCAGTGTTAGATGGGGATGAGCAGTTCAGCACCAGGGTCCCACACAGCCCCCCAGCCCGGAGGAGGGATGCTCGTGGCCATGCAAGCTGCTGCAGGGGAGCTCCAGGCAGGGCAAATGGCCTCACTCAGGTATAAACCACAGTATTTACTACATCCACAAAGGAAATGGATCTGGGTGGCACGAGACCTGGACAAGCCTCATGCAGCCCTGGGGTCCCGAGGGAGGACACAGGGAGCAGCAGAGCAGCAGGTCCTCCTGGGGAGGACACACATAGGGGAGGACTGCTCCCATCTCATTAACGCACCCTGCAGAGCCACATAAGAAGGTGGGAGCCACTGTGAGATTCAGACCTGGGGCGGGGAATTTCAGCTGCCGAAAACCTTGCAGATCTAGAGGAGGAACAGATGCCTGCAAGCTGCTGGGAGAGCCTTGCAAGGGGGAATGCTGCAGGAGAAAGGGAACCCCCTTTGTCAAATACAAACCAGCAGGTGGGAGAAATCTGGATGCACAGGAGGGAGACTTCACATCACTCTGTGTGTCCCTGAAAGCCAGTCACCTGCCTCTGCCAATGACTCCAGCAAGGAGGGACTCTCTGGCATGGCCACACTGCTAGGGGGTCTGTGGGGGTTCTGTGCCCACCCTGACTGTTTCTCTGCTACTTATGTGTGAAGAAAAGCACTTGGTTTAGAAAGCAAAGACTGCTCTGGAGCACACTTGGACTATGGAGGTACCTTGAGTCTCACAAACCCTCACAGCACTGTAAAGAATCTCTCGTAAATGTTGTGTGCTCAGTGCCTGTGGGATCAGCTTTTATTTAAAGAGGAACCAGATACTATTTCCATCCTTAACTTACACCACACGGGATGCCACACCAGGGGCCCTTTCAGCAGCTCAGGTCTGCTATGAATACAGGCATGCACCTCTGTCAGGAGCGAGTTTGTGCTGTGGACATGGGTCTTGCTCTGCCCAAGCTCACCTCCATGGGAGGGGATGTCCATGCTGTGACCCAGGTGCCACACACACACACATTGCTCTTTGGTCTCCATCCCATCCCACTGGCCTGGCAATGACCATAAAGAGGATGAAAGCAGGGGACGGCATGGTGCAGACCGGTGCTGCTGGAGCATCACTTGCAACAGGCTGGGGGAGCAACTGGCTTGGAGCTGCTGGGCAGGGAACAGCCACAGCTGCCATAGTACACCTCACCCTGGACACCGCAGGGAGGGCCCCGGTTGAACCCTGGAGCAGGGGAGCTCCAGCTAATTAGTCATTAATTACTTCAGAGAGGAAACGAGCAAAAGCCAACCTGCGCATACCTGTGGCACAGTGACCCGCGGGCCCCGGGACCTGGCCAGGCTGCACATCACTGAGGAATGGTCAAGGGTTCACCCATTAAGCAGAGCTGAAGAGCCAGCCCAGCCCAGTGTGTGTCCATCTCCCTGCAGCCTCCCCAGCCCCTCCATGCTCCCCCAGGACTCCCAGGAGCTCCCAGGCTCGGGCAGCAGCCTGGCAGGGCTCTGGGCTGCGCTGCCGTGAGCGGTGAGCCCGGCTCATTTAATCTATTCAATTGGATTCAATTTCCAGCCGCATGATTCAATTAGCCCGGGGGGGACAGCACAGGAGAGCAGGGGCTGTGGAGAATGGCCCGGCCTGTGCTCCGGCTGCCATGGAGCTGGGAGGGGGGAGAGCAGCATGGAGGCACAGCAGCTGTTCCCGCAACAGGAGCAAATCAAGCATCCAGTGATGGTCCCCCAAGGGTGCTGCTTGTTTGGGGTCACTCTTCTGCTTGATCAGTGTCCCCCTCAGCTCACCCACACTGGGCTGCACTGGGGACAACCAGGGCTCTGACTGGCACGAAGGACTCTCAGTAGCCCTAGGGAATGCCAGGTCCCACAAGCCTTGCAACAAGCCCTTCTCCAGCCTCCTGGCCCAGACTTTCATTCCTCATTCCCTTTTCTGTCTACCCTCCCGCTGAGAGAATCAGCAAAGGCATGAATTTCCAGCAGGGGAAAAGCACATCTTGTTGTGGACCCTTTGGATGTCTGCAGCTCCTAACACTGGGCTCTACCCTTTTCCTCTCAGGTTACCGCAATGGCTCATCTGCCAAAAAAAACCCATCACCTCCACAGGAACCAACTTCCATCCAGTACATCCCTGCTCATCCCCACAAGTACCAAACAAGAAAACAGCCCAGAAAACAGGAGATGAGAATAAATATCCAGGAGGCACTGGTGCTGACACCGAGATGGAGAGCTGCTTGCGAGTGCCAAGAGCCAGCTGTAAATCTTCCTGCAGACTGCTGGCTGTGCAGCAGCCCCAGCACACACGATGGCAGCCGTGACTTGGCAGGGCACTGGTATCTCCCTCTGCCTGGCGGGAAGAAGCATGGGGAGGCAGATGTAGCATGCCGGGCCTGACCCCCTGCACAAGTGCTGTGTTGCTATCTCTCCCCAGGACACTAAGCTTCTCTTCCTGATACCCACCGTGTAACAGCCTGGCAGGATCCTAGAGCCGGGGAAGAGCATCAGTGCTTCAGGCAGGCAGAGAAAAGCACCCCAAGGGGAACCAGGACATGCGCACGTGGAGGGCAGCTCAACCCTAGAGACATATCCTCCACACCACATGGATGGGACCACAACAGGTAACAGCCATGCTCAGGAAGGGGATGAAGAGGCTTACAAACCAGAGTAGGGTAAGGGTACGCCTTACTTTGTGTACATGAGATCCAGGGGTACTACCTGCTCCGAACACCCCAAACCATCACATGGAGCTGACACCCCCTACCAGCCTCCCTTTGGTACTCTGTGCCTCTTCTGACAAGCTACAGCCCTGGCAGGGGAAACTCAGCTCCTGAGAAGCAGCTTCTTTCTCAAGTCTGCTTGAAAAATGGGACCTGCAAGAACTGAGGAAAAAGATACCAAAAATCACAGTGGCACTTACAAATCAATTTTCAGTGACTCCCCCCAAAGTTTTGCTCAAACTCAATTTTTCTCCTGCAGAATTTGGTCATTATTTTGTAAAATATTTGTCTCCCTGCAGCAGCTGCCTAATTTAAAGGCAGCAATCTCATTTCTCCCCACACTCCCCAAGCCTCAAAACCAGCTCTTCCAATAATAGACTGAGTTATGAATTAGATAGAATAAAATACACTCAACTTCTCAGATCAGATACGGGAAAGTTTGGGGCCACCAGCCACATCCTGAGGCTGAATGTTAAAGTTAAATGACTTTCTGCTCAGTTCAAGCTGGCTCCCAGACACAAGCACCAGTGCGGTGTTTAACAAAACAGGGATATCTGCAGCAGAATCCGTGAGCAAGAGCTGGCTGATACCAGCAGGAGAGAGCACCACACTGTGCACAGGAAGATCTCTGCATCCCTTGCTCATGGGCTCTCAGCCTTGTCTGCTATCCCTACCGGCAGCCCCAGGGGCATGTTGACTGCTGCTGGTACCTGCAGCCTGGATCAAGGAGGGGGCACTGCTGAGTGCACCACAACCTGACTGAGCAGGAAGAGCCCGAGGGGAAGTGACTGCCTTGCTGCAGCCACATGCCACCACCAAATGGTGACAGGGCCACCCCCATAACACCCCTCTGTGAAGGACAAACGCTGCACACTCTGGATAGGCAGGGCTCTGCTATTTATTGAGCTCTCGGTTTGTATGTACATCCACTTACAGTGCTTGGTTTGGTGACAGCGTGACAAGAGGATGTGTCAGTGTCTTCCCCAGCTCAGCCTTGGGTGACGGCTGACCCCATGAGAGTGGTTTTCCACTCACAGCCTGGGATTCTCAGTTCATCCCAAGAAGGGAGCACCCTGGGGGAGACGAGATCTTCTATAGCTGAGCCCAGAGTGAAAAGCTGAAAATCCCAGAGGTTGCGGAGGCAGAGGCAGACTCATTCCCAACTCTGTCACGTATCTGCTTAGCCTCAGCCTAACTGGGATAGGCGAAAAGGAGGCATGGGGACTGCTGGGTGCTCCAACAACACCGATGCTGGGGCTGCACCTCAGGGAAGCAACTCAAGCCCCCTTTAGATGAAATTCCCTGTCCCCAGACGCAAGATCATCTAGCAAGAGCTCCCCATATCTACAGACGAGTGCCATGTGCTGCAAGCCATCGCTATTGTTTCTTTACCAGAGAAGCTGACTCCTTCTACGTGCCCTGTCCCGTTCTCAAGCCAAGTGATTTTATGGAGTCTGCTTGCTCTCCCAAGCCCTGTCCCTTTGGTATGTATACATTTCTACACACTTGCGTGGCAGAAAGCAACTAAGTGTCTGGCTTAGCTGATAAAAGCCAGACAATTCCCTGCTGAGGCAAAGTATCTCCTGTCAGGAGAAGCCGGTGCTCCCAAGGAAAACATGCGGTCTTCATCAGGTGCTGTGCTCAGCGGGTGGCCAAGGACACAGCTTTCGGTTTCCCATGCTCATGGCAGGTAGAGATGAAACATGAATGCAATTAACACGTTAGCATGAAGAAGCCTTGCCTAAAAATGGTAGTAAATGAGCATGACGTTCACACTGCTCACACTAACCTAACAAGGCTAAGAGTGGGGCTAGGCACTTCTTTTGCAAACAAAACTATTTTCTAGGGAAAAACAAAAGCGGACCTGGGATGTAAATAACTTCTCTGCTTCTGTCCACAAAGTCAGGCCAGATCCTAACATCACTGCTGGGAGCTGAAAATGCAGGAGCAGGGAATGGATGTTTATGCTGCGTATTCCTGAGTTGGCAGCCAGACACAGCACTCGGAACAGGCTCTGCTGGCCCTGGGCACCTCTGAAACACGGGCTCTGGAGCAGAAAGGCCTGCCTGGGCCCCAGAACATCATCCCATAGCTCTTCCTTAGGAAGTCCTCAGCAGACTGTTGCTGCAAGTTGCTTGGTGAAGACAGGAGGGCAAGCGAGAAAATGAAGAAACTTCTTCTCCAGCTGCATTTTAATCGTGTGCTACACACAAGGGAAAAATGGGGACTTCTTAGTTCATGAAGGTCACCAGGCACTTGCAAACATGTGCAAGGCAGACACTCCGGTGAGGAAGGGAAGGATTGTCACAATGCAGTCTCTGATGGGCAATAAGGAGAGTGGGGAGAGGGAGTCACCCTGTCCTCTGCCCCGTGAAAATGGAATATCCCAAAATGTCCCTCAGCCTTAGAAAACAGCAGAGATGAGCTGGGCTACTGGAAGTAACAGTGACCCCAAGCACAGCTGGTCTCCAGTTACAACAGGACCCTGTAAACCAACAGCCTTGGAGGCAAAATTTTTCCTTCTCCAATAATCCAGTGGCTTAGTTCAAGTGACACCATAAGAAACCAGCAATGAGGAGGGCCTGCTCCTTGGGGAAACTGTTTTATACCCCAAAGCCATTCCCAGTGGGCTTTGATGTACATTGCAGGAGGGCAGGATAATTCAGGGTGACAGAAAAGAACAGCCCTCACCTGGGATCAGGAAGCTTTCCCCATAGAGCAGGCAAGTGATCTCAATGCAGAAGTGTCTCACACAGCTGGACTGGCTTTATTATTTTGGTTGTGAGCTCTCCCCAGCTCTGCTACAAAGCTTTCCAGTGCATCTTCCCTGAGGCTGTGGAGGGAATCCCTATTGCTATGTCACAGGAATGGCTGCCCATCCCCATTGCACCTTACAGAATTGCTTCCTCCTTCTCCTCAACATGCCCATCGCTCTCTTCAGCCCCAGTCCTGTTGAAACACATGCCTTTGGGATCAAACACACAGCAGCAAGGCTCTCCCCTAAAAGAAATGCAGTCCCTTCTGCAGGCGGAAGGCAAGGGGCAACTGGCTGCAGATCTGTAGTGTCCCTGCCCAAACAGGCCCATCTCTGGTCAGCCCTGTGCAGTGGCAGCGTCCCCACTTCAAGAGATCGTAGAGAACTCCTTCAGCAGCAGTTCCTGGCTCAGCGTGTTGAAAGCCAAGTTCTTCCTCACATTGATGCTGATGGACCGAACCTGGCAGAGACAAAATGAGATGTTTTAGCCAAGGGATTCCTCCTGGCTCCCCATAAGCATAGCAGCTTTGATGCTGCTGACCTCTAGGTTCAGCATGAAACTGTTTTGATGCTGTTATAGCCCCAGAGAACTTGCTGCAGCAAACTCCCACTGCAGCTACAGCTTAGTAAGAAATCCCTGAGGATCTCCAGCAAGGAGAGTAAATTCCAAATGAGAGAGGGATGGGAGAGGATGCTCTGTTTGGATACATAAGCAATGACAGCTTCCTGCTGTGGGGCAAAGCAATGGGGAAAGTGAGCACTTCCAGGTTGCAGCTGGAACAGCATTTTCTACCAGTGCCCACTGGTTCTGCTCCAGAACCTGCAGATCCAAAGATACAGAGTCAAGGAAAGGACAGAGGCCATGCTATGATGCTGTTAAATTACCACTAAGGCTGGCAGAAACCCGTGGGTCCAGGGCCAGCTGTATTTTGTGCTGAGTGCCTTACACTTGAAGCTGGCTCACTAGCTGTCTCTGAAGAAGTGACAACTTCATCTCTCAGTGATACCCAGACTTCTGGTCACCTGCAGAGTCTGTGAAGAGCAGCCGGACAGCCCTGTTGTGCAGCAGCTTCCTTTCCCTTCCCCCTTCATGCCTGCAGACTCGCTGGCTGAACACACAGGCCCCAGACTGGGCTCAGTCTCAGCAGCACTCGGCAACGAGAAAACAAAGTCAAACATCATCTGTGTCAGCGACTCTGTGCAGCAGTGACAGAAAGCAACACTGACACAAGCTCATCCAAACAACGGGATTACAGTTCCCAGAGACTTGGAGCCTGTGATAATAAGGTTGTTGCTGACCTGGTTAGTGTTTTGTGCTTTTCAAAAGCAGTGGGGGATGAATTATATAGAAGCAGAATGAGGAATCCTACACTGGGGGCTGGGAAGCAACTTAGCACTTGCTGCACTGGTGAGAAAAAAAAAGAGGGAAGGTTAGAAAGCTCCCCAAAAGGCAGGAATTGTACGAGTGGGAAGCAAATCAAGACATGCAAGGTTAACAGGGATAGCTGTGAAATGAACCCCAGTGAACCCCACTGCACAGACCTTAGCAACCCAAGCAAGCCAGCAAAGATGTCTACACTTAAAGAAAGAATACTTAAGTTTCGTGGCGTCTCCAGAAACAACAAACTCTCCTTTATCAGGATGCTTGGCAGAGACCCCATGTGTTCTTGTTTCCTTGGAGCACCCTGTCACCTCCCTTCTCTACATGTCCTGTGACTTACTCCATACTGAAATAGTTTGGGATCACGTCTTGTAGGATAACCCACTTTAACATAGATTATAGCAAGTTGTCTCCAGAGCACTGGTTTGCACTGGGCTGTCTCCCTGTCAGGAAATAGCAGCCCCGCTAGCAGGACTTGGTCTCAGTCCTACTGAATGCTCCCCACTCCAGTGCTCAGCAACCCAGTTCCAGAGGGGAACAACATGGCTAAACGGATGAGAAACCTCTGCCCTGGGGAGTGTAATTGCCTGTAGAAAAGGGGGAGATGCTACATGCAGTCTAAGCTGGCATTCTTATTCTGACTATGAGCATTTCTATGGGCTCCAGCAACAGAAAGGACAAGCAGAAATGAGTTCCCGGCCTTAGGAACTGCTGCCAGGGACCAGGCACCAGTGGTAAAAGATGCCCAACTTGTCTACAAATCAAGGTCTCCTATGAGGCAGCAGTCTCTAAGAGTCCAGAAAGGGAGGCTGGAGTGGTACATGATGAAAACACAGGACTTAGTGAAATTGTAGCCATGGGGTAGACAGAGCACCAGAAATTAAGCTTGTTTAGTTTGCAAAGAGACAGTTTAGGAAGAACAGAGCAAACACTCTCCAATATGTAAAATGAGGTCAGAAAGAGAACAGTGAGTAATATTTCTCTGCCTCCCCAGGGACGGGGCAAGAAATACTCAAGACAAAGAAGATTACACTGGAAAAGAAGTAATACTTTTAAACCTATGGGTTGTGAAGCAGTGGAGTAGATCACCTCGGAAGCTGTTTTCACCTGAAAACAGCTTTAGGTTTCAAGAGGAGCTTAGACACAAACTCTGGTCAAGAGCAGTCTAGTTGGCTTTAATTTGCTTTAACACAAGCTGGGGAGACGTTTCTACAAATCTCTGCCCAGCATTGCCTCTGCTGTGAGAAAGCAACAGCTCTGAACCAACCAGCTTAAAAGGTAAGAATAGCACAAATTAGAGTTAAATCAAGTTATCTCTGGCACCAGAGCTCAGGTCAGGGAGCCAGAGCTCATCTCCCTTTTGGGATTGGAAGACCAGGCAGTGACACGGGGGGGGTGTCAGCCTGTAACAAGGTGTCCTGGGTTCAGCAGTAGCAGTCAGGTTTCTCCTTTGTGGTAGCTGGTGCAGTGCTGTGTTTTGACTTCCAGCCTGGGAACAGTGCTGGTGATACTGATGTTTTCGGTTGTTGCTAAGTGATGTTTACCCTGACCAAGGCTCATGCCATGTGAGGCTCATGCTCTGCCAGGGCGGAGGGGAAGCCGTGAGGAAGCAGACACAGGGTGCCTGACCCAGGCTAGCCAGGGAGGTATTCCATACCACAGCATGTCATGCCCGGGCTGGGGGTTAACTGGGAGTTACCCAGAAGGACACAGGCTTCCAGGTGGGACTCGTTTCTTGGCCGGTGGTATCGTATTCTCTTCCCTTGTTATTTTCTCTTATCATTGTTGTCGTTGGTGGTAGCGGTGGTGATTTGTGTTGTACATTGGTTGCTGGACTGTTCTTGTCTCAACCCGTAGCAGTTGCACTCTTTCGATCCTCCTCCCCGTTCCTCTGGGAGCGGGGAAGGGGAGAGCCCCGGGGGGGGGGGGGGGCTCAATTGCTCTCAGCCTGGCACCACTCACTGGGAGTGAGTGAACAAGCTGTCTGGCTAGGGTTTAAACCACGACACAAGGATAAACTTCAGAAGCTTCCTGCAGTCTGGCTGAGCTGCTCCATCCATGAGGCTACACCCCAGGACTCCTCCTAGCTCCTGGTGCAGCAGGCAGCCCAGGCCTGGCTGCCAGCCTGGAAGCTACCAGAACCCTCTAGAGTGGCTTACACAAGCAGACAAAACCAGCCTTGGAAAGTAAGCTCAGAGCTTTTAACAGCCATTCTGCAAGGAAGTAAAAGCAGAACGTGTCCTCTCTTGGTTCTGCATGGAGCATGCCGGAGCACAGTAGTGGCAGGAGAGCTTTTAGAATTGCTTTCTCCCTATTAGGAGCTTCGATCACATTTAATGCACAAACTTGGCAGAAATGGGAAATGCATGAAATGGTGACATCACCTAAAGAACAACAAGCAAATGAAAGAATGGATGTAGTGGTGGCATTAACCACGTGAGGAAAACAGTATTCAGTTCTAGTTTCATGTCATTATAGCTGGACAGGAGCAACACTGTACAGACACTCCTACTTCACAGCAAGTCCCATCAATTAAACCCGTTTCAAATCAACAAGCAGCTCTTAAGAAATTTGTACAATGGGAGGAAGGTTTACACTGACTACTACATCTAATTAAAAGTCAAATTAGTGTAATTTCCCCTGCAGAAATCAACCCCTAATCAGGCTATTTTGAGACTCTGCTGACACCCATCCAACTGCAAAGACAGTGAATGTTTTAGAAAGACGCTGAATCTCTTTCCACGCATTCCTCCAGCTGTAATGTGAGGGTCCAAAAGCTCACATCCAAACCATTCATTCTGTCAAAGCAGTACAGACCTCAAATGCCATCCCTGAGGGTTCAAAGGAAAAGAAATAAAGCATTAGAAAACTTCCTAACTTCCTTCCTTTAGCCCCTCAAAGGCAGCACAACAGGCCAGAAAACCCAGTTGATAAAACACTCTGCACATCACCTTCCACTACAATGTGGCTGCAGTATCACAGGCCTTTGAAAGCTTCTTTGAAAAGGGAATGTGAGAAGAAAGCAGATTTTTCTTTGGGATTAGCAAGAAAGAGCAGCACTGAGGCAAAGCCAGAGAAGCGAAGCAGTGCATTAGCAGAGGATGTCAAAGGAGTGAGAACGAGATTTTTAAGCATAAAGGAGTCAAGAGAATGGCTTGGGGAAGTTTCTGCTCACCCACTTAATGGGAGCACAGAGAGATGAAAAGGCAGTCGAAAAGGAAAATGGCTCCTGTGTATCATTCCCCACCAAGAAGGATTTGCTTTAATGCAATCACACAGACACAGGTAAGAAAAGCAGTCAGAATCTGGAAGCAATTATTTGCAAACAGATCCTGTTCAGGAAGACCTGATGGGACCAGCATGAGTTTGGAAACCATGCTGGAAACCTGTAGTTCACCACCAGACCTGCTCCTTTGGCAGAGCCTGTGAAGAAAACTGCAGCAGCTTCACTCTGCCACCTCCATGAAATCCTGCAAACCTCAGCTGTTAAACATAATGCATTGGGCAGGGGGATATTATCCAACATGAGACCAGCAATAGAAGACAAAGTAAAGATTAAAAAGCCTTGCAAAAAGGAAGCCAACTACCTGGTTTGAAGAGGATATAGAGAGGACAGGGCAGACTAGGTTCTTTTAGATGAGTTGTTCAAACAATTAATAGAGCCATCAGTTACTGTGCACCTAGAGATAGAAACAGCGTGGAGGACAGGAGGCCAGCTGGGTTTGTTGAAGACAAATCATAGCATATCAGGTTGATTTCCTGCTGTGTTGAGGGAACAGCTTAATGGAATGAAGGGGATTTTCTATAGCTATGAGTAAAGAACATTTTATAGGGTCCCAATTCTCAGGGCATCTAGAGAAATGTGGATTAAACAGATTCACAACTGGGTCAAATCAGCACATTTAGATGGTAATTATTCAGGCTTTCATATGCTCTTGAGGAGAGGGTCTCAGGGGTATCTGGATGGGCAATATTCAGAAGGGAGGTGAGGAGGGGCTGGTTAATCTGAACAGATTTTTAAATGATACATAATTGGGATTTGGGGAAAAAAATAACTAAATAAATCATCCAGCTAGGAAGAAAATAATTTTAGCTGAAGTGTTTTGTAGCTGTGATGATCTTATGACTGAGAATGTCATTTTAATCAATTGGCATGATCAGCCTGAGCTTCTGCTAGGCCAAGTGGAAAGTGGGGCATGCAGGAAGCAGAGCAGTCATGTGGCTGGGGAAGGAGATGCTGGCTGAGGAGGGCAGGAGCCCTTGGGATGGAAGAGATGACAACAGAAACATGAATATGAGTTATTTCCAGGGTACAGTAACAGAGGCACCCTGTGTCACAGGAAGGCTATGCCCAAATTTCTTTGCATGTATTCCAAATACGGTATCAAACAGCAGGCCAGAGAGATAAAAACAAGCACAAGAGCACAGAAAAATGGCATGAAAGTGATTGCAAGTGTTTTTGCTTGCATTCTACCCAATGGCAGTGCTGAAATGACCCAAAACATTAAAAAGCATTCTGTAGAAGGAAGCAAAACCAATTCAGGCATCCTTGCTCCGGAGCAGAGTAGACAGAGGGAGGCATAACATTCCCAAACTCATGCAGACTCGTGACAGAGTGGGCAGGCATCAATTACTCATCAATCAGCAAGGTCAGAGCTAGGAGAGAGAATCAGCTCTCAAACTGGTGGAGAAAGCTGCCAGAGCTGGAGATCTCTCCCTTTGCTGAAGCTGTAATAATTTGAAAGGGAAGAAAACCAGGCTCCCCTCAGATACAAGGCACTACAAAAGCTGCCTCCCTGGTGATGCAGCTCTTGGACAAGAAAGTTGTGTCAAGGCAATCTGGAGCAGGCTGAGCAAGCTGGTTTGCTAAAGAATATAACTACCAACCCAAACTATTTGGACTCAGTTTTGTCTTCACTATATTATTTGGGGGGGGCTTCCTACCATCAGTCTTCTCCTCTGGCAAAGGAGACAATTGTAGGGAATGCCTTTGCTTTCTTTGATTGGGAACCCTATTTTGTGAGTGATGAAGAAAAGCAATGAGCAGGGCATATGTTTCACCAGCATTGTATATTCTGCTCAGTCTCACACTTTGTGGTCCCCTTAACAAAATCAAAAAGGCTAAGTTGCTTTGTGTGATAAACCCAAGGTGGGAGCTGTTAGCTTCTCCACCATGCAAATTTACCACCACAAAGCACAGTGGATCTCCATGGCAGAAGGACAGAGACTGACTGACTGGTTGCTGGCCTGAGCAGTCTGGGGGTTCTTTCCCAGCCAGCTATGGTGGGGCAGGGAGCTGCAGGGCACTTTCAGACCTGTTGAGACATGCAGTGCCTGTTCAGATCCTATTCCTGCTCCATCTTTGGAGGCAGCCCAATGGAGTAACAGGGCTGCCACTGCCCAGGCTGTAAGCAAAGGCTTTGGAAAGGGGTTGTTGATTCCGGAGAATCAAGGCATCTTACCAGCTCTTTGAAGAATGCAGCCTCTTTATGCTGCTCTGAGTAGCGCTCGTACTGGTCCAGTCCGTCCTGCAGTTTCAGGGTCAGCGTGTCATAGTTGGACCGCACCACTTCCAAAACCTGCCAGAGACAGCCAAATACAGCAGAGGAGTCAGCATCCACAGACACCTCAGCATAGGAGGAGCAAGGCTGAAGTAGATCACAGCTCTGGCACCTGTATCTGCAACATACATGGCTTTAACAGCCAATATTTAGCTCACTGCTAACAACACAGAGGTGGGCACTAAAGTCTTCCTAATGCCAGTAAGGAACAGCTCTCAAATTCACAGAACTTCTCCATTCATGAGAACAGTGGATGAGCCTGTATCTATAACAGCAGCAGTTTTCCAGATACTATTATGTCACAAGGAGAAACAGACATGATCTCATTAAACTAAGTAGCTAATTACCATTTGGACACCCAAATGTAACACAGGTTTGCCTGACCTGGTTCTTCCAGAGCTAGTTTTGCTAGCACACTCCTCCTGGCTTTCTCATCACCATTCACAATCTGCTAAACCACCAGCTTCTACAGCTGTTCAGGTCAGCTTTCATACAGAGCACTGTGCTTCTCTCCTGATAGAAACAAGCTTCTGACAGGCACCAAGATAAGACCATCCATGGTACAGACTCTGGTCTTGGAAACAGATGGAGACACAAATCCTGACCTTCCTGCCCAGGAGATATTTTATTATTTAGTTTCACTGCAACCAAAGCACTCCAGCTTCTATTACTGCCTTGCTCTGCTCCCAGCACTGGGATATACTTGCGAATTCATAGTTACACATCTCTGTCCTATTGAACTATTTATTTTCCTAACTCAGGAGCACCAAAAGGGACTCCCAAAACACCTTTTAGTTTCAAAGCATTGCATGGACAAACACATTTCTCAAAGCATTTGTGAGATGGTAAGTCATGATAATCTTCCTACCAGGAATCACACAGCTCAGCATTCCTGGGTAAAACATACGCTTGAAACAATTCTCTTAAACATATGGACTTATTTCTGTTACCATTGCTCTGAGAGCTAAACACAATCTCAGCATTTGAGGCTTGCATTACAGTAGCTTCTGCTCATGAAAAGCCTCAGCCAGAAGGACTACATAGTGTAATGTGCAAAGGAAGAGGACATTGCTCCAAGGCATCTCCACTCAGAAAAGATCCTAAGAAAAGCACTGCAGAGGATTTATTCTGGTCACAACAGTGACCAGAATAATAAGGAGCCCTTTGATTTCTCTTATCCTCCCAACAATGTAAACACTACCCACAATTGCCCTTTTAGACAGCTGGCAGCTCCTGCCTTTTACAGGTCCTTGAGCCCTGTCCTTATATCCTTTACTCTAGGAAACCTAGAGCTGCTTAGGGCTCCTTCAAAAGCTTGTTTCCCCCAAACTTTGTGGTAAACAGACACAGCCATCCAAATGTTTAGAAGTAGCAGAAGCCACATCAGCATCATCCACATTAGGACTGGGAGTAGAAAAGGGTTCCAGAAGTGGTTCCCAGGTGGGATGGTCACACAGAGTCTCTTTGCAGCCCAGCTCAACTCCAGCACTGCAGAGGAGAGCTAGAGGTAGGAATCAGCATTCTGCAATGCTATTTAAGAACAGCCTGTCAGCGTCCTGCTGTTCCAAGAGCATGCAGCTTCCTCTCCAGGACTCATTTCCTAATGCTGTTTGTCAGCTCCACTGGCAGAGAGGAGGAACCCCCTGCAATGACAGCCATCTCCAAATTCTTGCTCCTCCATGCAGAAGCTGGGAGAAGTCTCACAGAGCCAAGAGCAATGATGAAAGCAAGCTGCTTGGGTACAGAAATAATTTACTTCGGGATGCAATTACCCACTAGGGATGGAGAGCAATGGTATAATGCACCTTCTCCTGAGCCTTAAAGAATCTAGCAGCATGCATGAACCTCCTGTCAATCTGAGGAAGCCAAACTGACCAAGATTCATAAACTACAGGGGAGAAACCTTGTAACAGCTGGCTTCATCAGTAGCTCAGAATAGAGACATTTTACTAGGAACTTTCTCTTGGGATCCTCTTCACTCATCTGTGCCCCTATATGTACAGCCAAGCGTAGTGCCATACCGGTGTGCCCAGACAACGGACGCACACATGCTTCTCAGCAAAGAATCAGAACTCCTCCTTGCTAATTCCCAGTACAGATCTCTGCAGATACTCAACAGAGGTGTCCTCAAACCACAGAGAGCATCAGTAAACCCTGACAGCAGCAGCAAGCTCTGTAAGCAGTCCTACTGTGTAACCTTTGAAAGGCAGCTACAAGCTCAGTTTGATACTCTAGCAGGAGGACAGGGAAGGAAAAAGAGGCCCCAAAGTCTCCACTGTGTTACCCACTACTTATCATAGTCTCTGCAGTGAACTTCAGATCAGCTTATCCCTTTAGCTATGTATTTTCATTGGCTTTCACTCCTTATCTTCTTTAATTATGAAGTAGAACTTAAAAAGAAAGGGTAAGTTAAAAATAAACAGCTTCTCTTCACTGCCTGATAATTTCCCTTTTTTGCTGCTGCTGAGAACAAATGCTACGTGGGATCTGAGAGAAACCCACTCACAGATCATTTCACTTCATACTTTATAATGGATAGGAGCTGTTACTGAGATTAGGACCTGCCAACCTTGAGCCGATTTCATCTGCTCTTTAAGATGCAGCTGCTAGACAGAGGAGAGGTTAAAGAGCAGCAGAAGGTATACAGAGCATCTAACATGAAGGTTTGAAAGGCATCAGTTTTTTACATAGATGACAAAAATTCGCATCCTCTGTGTAACAGAAGATTGTGTGTGTTTGCATCCTTCATCCTTCTTACACACTGCTGTGACTTGCTCAGGAAAACTACTGCAGGAAGAATGCCCTTTTGCATTAAATATAGGAGATCTTTATCTGCACCTTTCTGTCAGACACAAACGAACTAGAAGAATTTAATGTTGAGATTAAAGCATTTCTCCTTCAAGGTCTTCTCCGACTTGGCCTTCACACAAGTCTCCATGGGAGACTAGAAAACAAATTCTAAGATGGTGCAGAATGAATACCTTTAAAAAAGGGACTTTCAGCTGGACAGGTCCACACAGATTTTAATTGTCACTCTTTGTTTGTTTTTAAATCTCATGAGGAGATGAAAGAATATTGCTTCTAGTGTCAGGCAAGGATAGGGGAAAACAGACTGTAGATGATTTCCAAGGAGCTTGATGTGACACTCTTCAGACTGCAAGAACAAACATGCAGGGAAAACTATAGGAAAAAAAAAGCTTTACTGTATCTTCACAGTTGAAAAAAACTAAACAAAAAGTAGTCACAACCTAAAGCTCTCTTTGTAGGTTACGCTGGGGGGGATCAGAGCCTTAAAAAAGCAGTATGATAAAAGTGAGTGACTCACACATGGCCAATAGAAGAAAAGCGAAGGCTGCTGAATTCCTTTCCTGCAGTTAACTGTCTCAGCCCTAGAGGCTACATTCACTCTTACTCCATTGCAACAAACCAGAACTCAGTGGAGCTGCACCACTGTAATTTAAAGGTAATTTGCCATAAAATTAACCCCCTGCCCCACCACTCATTCACTCAGTGCTTTCCAGAAGTTCCAGAGAAACATTAGGAATTCAGGTGCCTGCTTACATGTCCCCAAACAAACCTTTCAGGAGCTGCTCTGAACAGCAAGTGCTCTCTATGGCACTTGAATTTCAGCTTCCTCCTGCAGTTACAACTGCCCATGCCCCATAACTCTCCTTCCCCAGTAACACCAACAACTTGTGAGTAGAGGCATCCCTGTGTAACATCGCCGGGAAATGGCTGCCAGTGGAGGGGGTAATGTGGTGCTCATCTCTCTACAGCATCCCACCCATGCCATGCCATGCCATGCTGCTGCACCCAGAGGAACACGATTATTCCACAGGTTTTGGCTCATTACTTTGCTGCATCCACCAGCTTATCACTCCCTCACAAACTGGATGGACAACCTCTGAAGGGTCACTGGACTCTTGTGGACACAAGTTCTGAAATCAGTTCCCCCAAAACCAATAGCCTCTGCCTTCTAAACAGACCATGTTTTGCTGTATCACTCCATACACAGCCTCCTTCCTTACTGTACTGGAACTGATCCTCAACAGGAGCTGACTTGCTGCACTCCCCCAGGAGGGACCGGACCCTCTGGAAGGGCCTGTCCTTGGGAAACAAGAGGATTACATGGAGCAGTCTCCCATCCCCATCCTGCCCAGGAGAATATAGCCACTTAGAGCCGGAAAGCCAGAGAGGGAGCTGCACCAGCAATGAACTCTAATGGGCAACATGCAGAACTATGGCCCATCTATCTGGCAGACATGGAATACTTAATTGCTTAGTAACTTTTCAACCTGCAAAATCTTTCATCATCTGCAACTGCAGCCTGTGCCTTACTAGAACATAAAATTAGAGTGTGCCACCAATTCACACAGCAAGGTGGTAGGTAGGTTCTGGGAAGCATGAATGGGTAGTGACACAAAAATAAAAGAAAACCAGGAGCAAGAAGAAAGCAAGGTCTTGACACTGTCTTTTTAATCAATGCAGGAAAGGACAAGAATGCAATCAGTCAGCATCACTGGTACCTCACTAGAGTCTCTCCATGCCCGTAAGACAGTCATTAGCTACCACGACACAGAAGCCGTTGGAAAAGAACTGACTGAATGATTTCACATCAAACAAAAGGAAAAAAGCCCACACCCCAGCAAATCCCAGGTTAAAATCTGCTTGCCTCCCACACCAACACCCTGCAGCTCACAGGGCTGGGATGGGCAGGCTTTCCAGGTCAGACCTAGCAAGCCCTCACTGGATGGAAAAGCCAGGAGCTTCAGTCCCAGCTGTCCCATGCTGGAGGATGAAGCAGCCAGTCCATGGGGCATGTGATGCCGGCCCCTTACCAGCACTACTGCATGGACAGACACAGCATAGATGCAAAGGGCAGTCAGGGACAGAAAAATATGCCCTCTGTCCTCTCTGCAGAGATGGTGGCATGCCTGTCAGTGCCCATGTACCACACAGGGCACTATGGCAGTCCTACCTCTGAAACCTAGGCAAAGCCCAAGATATGTGGGTTTAGT